TAGCACGTACTTTTATATCTAAACTTTTTAATTAAAGTGTAATATAAAAGATCTTTGTCAAGATTTATTTTTCAATAGTTCTTTTACGTTTATTGAATCTAACTACATAATTTTTAACATGGAAAAATTTTTTGCATTTACTCTAGATAGAGAAATAATTAGTCCTCTAGATCAATTTGAAATTAGAGACTTATTAAGTTTAGACGCACCTATATTAGGAAATTTACATATTTCTATAACAAGTATAGGATTATTTTTAACATTAGGAGTTTTTTTTATATTAGCTCTTAATCTTTTAAGCACAAACTATAACAGATTAGTAGGTAATAAATGATCTATAAGCCAAGAATCTTTATACGCAACTATTCATAGTATAGTAACAAATCAAATAAACCCTAAAAATGGACAAATGTACTTTCCATTTATTTACGCTTTATTTATCTTTATATTAATAAATAATTTAATAGGTATGGTTCCTTATAGTTTTGCTTCTACAAGTCACTTTGTATTAACATTTGCTTTAAGTTTTACTATAGTTTTAGGTGCTACAATATTAGGGTTCCAAAAACACGGTTTAGTGTTCTTTTCTCTTTTAGTACCAGCAGGTTGTCCTTTACCTTTATTACCTTTATTAGTTCTTATTGAATTTATTTCTTACTTAGCAAGAAATATTTCTTTAGGTTTAAGATTAGCAGCTAACATTTTATCAGGTCACATGTTATTAAATATATTAGCTGGTTTTACTTATAACATTATGACAAGTGGTATAATATTCTTCTTCTTAGGATTAATACCTTTATCTTTTATAATAGCTTTCTCGGGTTTAGAGTTAGGTATTGCTTTTATTCAAGCTCAAGTTTTTGTAGTTTTATCTTCTGGTTACATAAAAGATGGGTTAGACTTACATTAATGTTTACAACATTAATAATAAGTAACCCTTATATTTTTATTATACTATTTAGAATTCTTTTTTTCTTTTATATTTTTTTTTCTAATGTTACGATAGATTTTTTGAGCGCAAGCATAAACGATTGAATCTGTTATATATGAGGAGATAATATAGGTAGTGGTTCTTCAGGGAATGGAGGTAGTGGTGGATCCGGAGGTTCACCTCAAGGACCGTCAGGTAATAATTTTTTACCTCATCACCCTACAGGTTCAACGTCTGATAGAGAAAATGTTATTCTAGAATTAGAAGAAGTAGCTAATCAAAATTTAAAAAATAAAGCTAACTACTCTGAAATGAGTCATCAAGAAAAAAGAGATTTTTGTATTAAAGATATGAAAAAAAATTTGTGAGAAGCGACTATTGATGTTATTAGAGAAAGAAGAACAGGGCAATTAAATCCAACAGGAGATCCAGAGTATAGAGTTTTATATAGTAAATTAACTCATAAAATAGCAAATCATCCTGAATTTCCTAATGTTGATTAAAAAAATTTTTTTCGTTATATTACTATTATAATAGCATATCTTTATTTTCTTTTATGTTTGGTAAATACCTTTTGCTTTTAATTATTTTACATAAAGAGAAGTTTTTATTATATTTTTAGGTTAAAGTAGATTTAATTTAATAGGATATATAATCTAAAAATTTTTTTATAAATAATTAATTTTCATTAGCTCAATGGTAGAGTAGGATACTTCTAATATCCTGATTTTAGTTCGAATCTAGAATGAAAATGTTAATTGTGTTTCTTTTAAAGTTTAACCTATTAATAAGTAAAATAAATTTAAAACGAGTAGTAAAAAAAAGAATTTATTTGAAGGATTTCGTATCACTATACAATAAATAAATTCTTTTTTAAGGCACTTTAGTTTTAATTTGAAGTATATCGGGGGAGGGTACTCTTCGTAATTTTAGGCTTTTATACCTTAAATATTCTTGTTTTATTAGAGATAAAAAATAAACTAAATTTAAAAGTATTTAAGGAAAGTTATAGTAAACAATATGTCTGTATATATAATTACTTAAAGTAAAAATTTCAGGTATTTAGTAGAAAATATAATAAATTAAAAAATATTAAATCATAAATATAATTTAAAAGCTAGCTACGCAAAACCTACATAAAACTATATTTTAGGGAGACATATTAACTAGAGATAGCTTGATTTTATCCTAAGAAAAACTTTAATTTCTAAAAATGAAATATTTTTAAAGATTAATTCTATATATTATATAGTGAACTATGAATAAACAAACACTAAAATAATCTAGTGATGGATGTTACCATCCACATTTTAATAATGTGTTTATAAGGGTGAGTTTGGTGATGGCTCTGATTGAACGCTGTCGAAGGGCTTGACACATGCTAATCGAACGTTTAATAAAATAAACTAGGCTATTAGAGATCTTCGGGTTTTTAAGAGCTTGTATTTATTTATTATTAAAAGTGGTGTACAGGTGAGTATAGATACCCAGCCGGCCTTAAAGAGAGGGATAAATCCCTCATAACGAAAGGTGAAATAATCACCGCTTTAAGAGGACTTAAGGAAGTATCGTCGGGATGGGTTGTTGTTAAGGTTACTTCTTAACAAGCTTTTAATTCTCGTAGTCGAAGCTGAAAGGTTGATCGACCACATTGGGACTGAAAAAACCCCAAGGCAATGTTGTACAGCAGTGAGGAATTTTGGTCAATGGCCTAACGGCTGAACTGGCAACTTCGGAGAACGAAGACTAGTTATAGTTAAACTTTAACTATAACTTTTCTATAAATTGACTTATCAAATAAAGTTCTAAGTGTATATTGATAATGACGGTATGCATATTGTGGCTTGACTAATTACGTGCCAGCAGTCGCGGTAATACGTAAGAGCCTAGTGTTATTCATCTTAAATAGGTTTAAAGGGTACTTAGACGGTAGTAAATGACTTAAAATAAGAGTACATCTCTACTAGAGTTTGATATGGGGAGGTCGTACCTGGGGTGAAGAGTTAATATTTGGTAATACCCTGGGGACTGGTAAAGGCGAAGGCAACCTCTTATGTAAAAACTGACGTTAAAGGACGAAGGCACAGATAACGAAAAGGATTAGATACCCTAGTAGTCTTTGCAGAGAATGATGAATGCCATAGATTAGGTATATTTACTTGGTTTATAAATGAAAGTGTAAGCATTTCACCTCAAGAGTAATGCGGCAACGCAGGAACTGAAATCACTAGACCGTTTCTGACCCCAGCAGTGAAGTATGTTATTTAATTCGGTGATCCACGAAAAACCTTACCACAATTTGAATGTTATTCTATAGCGGACTATCGTGATCGAAAAAAGCAATAGTTCGTGCTGAATAATACAAGTGTTGCACGGCTGTTTACAGTTAATGTTATGAAACTGCGGTTCCGACCGTGTAATTAATGAATACCCTGGCTTTATTTATTAAAAGGTGATTTTTCTCCAACATAAAATAAAGCATTTCATACGCCTTATAATAGTATGAACAAAAGGGAATAAGACAAGTCATCATGGCCTTAATATTGTGGGCTATAGACGTGCCACAATTCTCCTACACAAAGAGAAGCAAAAATGCGAATTTAAGCTAATCTCAAAAAATAGGATATAATTAGGAATGGATTGTAGTCTGAAATTCGGCTGCATGAATAAGAAATTGCTAGTAATCGTGAATCACCATGTCACGGTGAATCTAACTTCGGATTGGTACTAACCACTCGTCGCATGCTGAAAGGAGTTAGCGCAATAAGTTTGCTTTTCTATTGTAAGTACTTAATAATAGGATTTAGATCTTATAGTAGAATTCTTCGTATGCGCGATTCTAATTGGTGTTAAGTCGAAATACGGTTCGTGTAGTGGAAGTTGCACGGGATACATAAAATTAACCACAAATAAGGAAGATTCCGTTTATAGGTAAAACGGTTTATTATTAATAAGTAATCTATTAATAAGAGCAATGTATTAATTAAGTTATTTATAGCTTAAGCTTTTTAAAGAGTTCGAATCTCTAATCTCCTAATGAAATATAAAGATTCCCGATGTTAATTCAATATTTTCTTTATTTTTTGAACTTTATAATTATTAAGTTTTTTTCAGTACCTTAAAGGATATTGACAAAAATAAATCAAGCGAGTAAAAAAGAACTTATTTGAATTCTAATGAATTAATAGAAATATTCTGTGCTTGCCCTCGAAAAAAGGTCTATTTTTTATATCTAGCCTTAATCCCGAAGGGATACGCGGGCTTGTCCCGCATCCGTGGCCTGGTCCCGGAGAGGACTAGTCTTCAAAGAATTCTTTTTTTTTTTTACGGAGCATATAATATACTTTAAACTAAATTCCATTGTCAGAATAAATATTCGATTTATTCTGGCGCATAAAAAATCCTAAAGGCTGGTAAATAAAGACGTTTATAAAAAAAAATTTTTTTTTACCAGTACTATAATTCTTTGGTTTTTATTAAGATAAGTTAGTATATACTTTTAATAAGGAGACTCCCTTTATTGGTAAGAAGGGCTGAGCTGTAAACTCAGTAGTCTAACGGCTTTAAGAGTTCGAATCTCTTGTCTCCTAAGTCTCTATAGCTCAACGGTAGAGCTTAATACTGTTAATATTATGATAGATGTTCGATTCATCTTAGGGGCGTATTATCTAAAATAGTATTACTTAAACATACTATTTTGGAAATAAACAAATTTAGTTAGAAAATAGTCTTTGGCTGACCTTAGGGCGGCAGGGACCAGCCTAAAAATAAGAACTTATTTGAAGAGAAAAACTATTTTCTTTTTTAGAAAGCTTAATGTTTTTTGATTAGGTTTCAAAGAATTCTTATTTAAATCGCGGCTAGCCCTAATCCCGAAGGGATACGCGGGCTTGTCTCGCATCCGTGGCCTGGCCCCGGAGGGGACTAGTTAAATAACCCTGATTATAATCATTTATATTTCAGTCTTATTAGTTTAACCTTTATAATCTTTATTTTCATTTATTTCTTCTTTTTTAAGGGGGGGCCAAGGAAGTCTAAATTAGATAAGAAAATGTTTATTTTAATATTAGGGATATTAGCATAACGGTAATGCATATGACTTTTAATCATCTTTATATAAGTTCGAATCTTGTATATCCCAGATGAATGGTGATATATTTATTATAATATAGCCCTGGCGGGGACTTACGCCCTTAAAAAATAATTCTTTTTTTAAGGGCAGCGGAGCAGAGATACAGGTTATATTTTAATAATATAATATTATTAACAGTATAATTCTAAATAGAATAACGACCATCATTTAATGGTAGGATTGCTTCTATATCTGTCAGTTTAAATGAGGATCCATTTTTATCATATATTTAAATATGAATATTATGCAGATAAACAACCATAGGTTAATGGTAGACTGTTCCTCTACCACAGGAAGTGTGTCAGTTCAATTCTGACTGGTTGTAATAAAAGCATTCTAAAGATTATAGTTAAACGGTAGAACGGTAATTTTCCATATTACAAATTCAGGTTCGATTCCTGATAGTCTTAATTTAAATTAAATAATATTTATATTATTTAGTCTAAATGTATTAGTGGTAAACTCGTTGCTAGGTTGGGTGGGTGGGCATTCATATATATCCATAGATTATATATGTTGAAAATTGTTAGAGAAATAGTCTCTTTTTATAAAAATATCAAAAAACATGAAAAATTACATACAAATAGAATTTAGAAGTTGAAATTATACTAATCACCTTAACGAAGCGAGGAGATAACGCCTTTATAGGTAAAAAACTAGTTACTGTAAATGAAGCTTTAATAAACGGCATAGAAAGAAAAGTATGCTATACACCTTTAAAAGAAAAAGATTTCCAAGGAAAAGATCTTTCAAATTTTTCTTTTAATATTAATCCTACAGATACTCTTTTTGGTTTAACAGTTAATAAGAGTATGTTTAAAAATAAAGATAATAAAATGATTAATATTATAGGTAAAATAGTAGTATTAAATGATTACACAGAAGTAAATCTTTATGATTTAAGATGATTGCTAGGCAAAATGAATATCAAAAATTTAGTAATATTTTCTATTAATTTAACTGATAATATTAAAATAGAAAAATTTATGTTTGAAGGAGATTCTGATCTTACATATATAGAAGTAGGAGTGGAATATTTCATTGAAATGATGAGCAATAATCCTAAATATTTTTGAGAAATAAATCCTAATTCTTTATATATATTAAGAGATGGCAGTCACACAGATATTAAATATATATTATCTCAAATAGGCGAGTTTGGTTTAAATTTAGGCAGAGGTGGTTCTCAAAAAAGCCACATTATGAGTCCTTTAGAATTAAGATTATCTAGTTATTTAATGGCTATATTTAATTTTGATTATAATAAGTTAGCATTTTCAAATGTATTTAATACTTTACCTAAATCGAGGTATCTTCCTTATATAAGAAATGAGAAAAATCAATTAAATGATAATGAATTAACTAATAAAAGCATTTAATTAAATAAGTAAAATTAGGTACTACTAATTTAATAAAAGGTTTATTTAAAGATATATTAATATAAAAAGATTAACAATTTTTTATATTTTAAAAGCTAAGTATATGAGGCAATACTTAAAGATCAAAATTTGTTCTTTGATAGATTCGATTTCTATGGCTTTTAATCTAAAATAATAATTTAAATTATTATTTTATAGGCTTCTTTTAATAAATATTTAAACACAAAAATGTTCTTTCAAATGGATAAACCAATGATATCTTATTCCAATCTTTTAATGAATAAATCTGATATTTTGAAAAAAAACCATAAAAAATGTGGTATATATAAATGAAATAACCTAATTACTGGTAAAAGTTATGTAGGTTCTTCTGTAAATCTAGGAAATAGATTTAAATATTATTTCTCTTTAAGTTCTATTAGTAAATATTTAATTAAAAAACCTAGTTATATCTATAGAGCTATAATAAAATATGGTTATAATAATTTTACTTTAGATATTCTTGAGTATTGTGAACCTGACGTAGTATTAAAAAGGGAACAATTTTATATTGATAAATACAAACCTGAGTATAATATATTGAAAATAGCTGGATCACGTTTAGGTCAAACATTATCTGAAGAATCTAAAAGATTGATAAGTATTAACTCTCGTAAATTATGAAATAAAGGTTCTAAAGGGGTTTCTAAAGAAAAATTGTCCGTGACTCCTCCAATTAAAGTTGTTACAAATGAAACTAAAATTAAGTTATCTATAAGATCTTCAGGCGTTAATGTTAAAGTTTTTAATAAGTCAGGATTTTTTATTAATGAGTTTTCAACTATAAAAAACGCAGCTAAATATTTAAATTTAGAACCTAAAACTTTAAATAGAATTTTTGAGACTGGCATTTCTTATGATGATTATATTTATAAATTTGAACCTAAAGATACTAGGATATGAATATGCGATGAGAATAATAAATTAATAAATGTGCTTAAAAATATGAGAGCAACAAGGGAATATTATAATATACCTAAATCTAGTTTGTCTGACTGTATCAGATTAAAAAAACCTTATAAAAATTTGTATTTTTTTTATAATAATAAATCAAAACCTGAATTTTTTGAATAATTTAGCCCCTTTAAAAAAGCATTGGATTTTTTTAATCTGATACGTTGGGGAGCATAGCAGAGATATAGTCTCTTTTTTTAATTAATTATTAATTATATTATGTACTTAAATACAAAATTCAAAAGATATTATTCTTCGTTTAATAACTCAAATATATCAAACACTTTTAATGTAAAACCTGCTGTAATCTATAATAATTTATTATCTTCTAAATCTATTATTTACAAGGATAATAGAAATAAAAGTGGGGTTTATAGATGAGTAAATAAAATAACTCAGGATAGTTATGTAGGCAGTTCTATTAATTTAACGAAAAGATTTCATAATTATTTTTCTTCAGAGTATTTGGCGAATAAATCTAGTAAAGGCAACATTAAAATAGTTAAAGCTCTATTAAAATTTGGTTATTCAAATTTTAATCTAGAAATTTTAGAATATTGTGATAAAAATATTCTTCTTGAAAAAGAACAACATTTTTTTGACCTATTAAATCCAAATTATAATACATTAAAATTTGCTGGTTCAGGTTTAGGATTTAAACATTCGTTAGAAACTTTATTAAAATTTAAAATTCGTGATATAGAAAAAGGACATGCTATTATTGTACTGAATAAATTAGACGGGCTTAATAGTGAATATTCTTCTATACGTAAAGCGGCTATAGACCTTAAAGTAAGTACTACTACTTTATCAAGTTATATTGGCATAAATAAATTACTAAAAAATCAATATTTAATTAATAAGAAAACCAATGTAATTAAACCTATAGTAGGCTTACCTAAAGTAAAATTATTAAATACCGTAACTAATATGGAACTAGAATTCTATAGTTTATTTAGTTTAACTAAATACATAGCTAGTGTAGAAAATATTATAGTAGCTCCATCTACTGTGTCTAAATACATAAAACAAGGTAAACATTATAAAAATAAATATTATTTTTACTTTATAAATAAATAGAAGAGTTATTTATAATTATTCATTAAGGGTCGAAGAACCCTTATTTTTACCTTATTCATTTAATCTTTTTTTGGGCCTAAACCCAAAAAAGATTATTACTATAAATTTAATAGTGGTATAGTATAGTATAGTATGTACGTATTAATATCACTTTTCTTTTAACAGCATTATGCTGTATAAGAAAATTATTAAGTATGTGTGTACTTTTTTATCTTTAATTTAATTATAATATGAAAAATTTTAATGAATTTACTAAAATTAATAACAAAATATACAGTATAGATTTATTTTCTTTTGATTACTCAGAATCTTTTTCTTTAACTCTTTTGGATTTTTTAGGAAAATATAGTATATCAAATAAAAATCTTTATGAAGATTGTGCAGTTTATTTCTTAGTGTTTACAGATGGTATTACTATTGTAGAAGTACCTTTTTTATTTCCATTTGTAGATAAAACAATTTGTTTTAAACATATATATAATACGTTTATATTATCTCCAGAGTCTGAAAATATTTATTTAATTATAAATAATTAGTTCGTTTAATTAAGAGCGCTGCGCCTTAATAGTTAAATATATGAGTAATTATGTACTCTTTTAAAACTTGAAAATAATATTTAATGTTTAAATTATATCTAAATAAAATTATTTCTTTATTAATTATGTTTGCATATGTGTACACCATTTACGATTTTATATTTAATTCTTCTTTATCTTTTGATAGTATTGAAAATATACAAGATTTTTTCATCAAAAATTCTAATAATTCTGTTGAAATAAATGATAATGATAATAAAAATATTCCTGAGGATAATAATCATAAAGTACATACTCCTGTTTTAACTTTCTATGATAAAATTAGAAGAAAATTACATTGAGAATTGTACGGGCATAATAATTACCCTACTGTAAACGAGTTTAATAAAACTTGAAAACCTACTGATAGTTTTAAAAGTAAACTTAAGTCTGAGTTTAAAGATCTGAAGAATAATCCAATAAGCTATTTTAAAAAAGATTATTCTAAAACTCGTGAGGTAATTATAAAAAAAAATGACATTATGAAAGAATTGGAAAGAAAAAACTATTATGTTGAAGGAAAAGGTTGACTAAATAGTGAAAATTTACGCCGTTTAAATGCTAATGGATATACAGTAAAAGATAGTAAAATAGTTAAAATACCCAAATAAGAAAAATATGTTTCTTTTTAAATAACTCAAAATAGAAAATTAGGGTTTTCTTTTTAAATTTAAAAAACCAAAAGAATGTTTTTATTACAATATTTAATTTTAATTGTGTTTCAGAATAGAATATGAATATATTTAATTCTTCTTTTATTGTGAAACATTTATGAACTTAGCGTACACCCTCATTTATTTGATAGTGATACTGATTCTATATCAAGTATGGAATGAAGAGATAGACCAGTAGAAGTGAATAATTCTGTTTATGAATTAGACGGAAGATCTGTTCATCCTTTGGATAATAGATTTGCTCAACCTTTAGAAAATACAAATCAAAGAGTATATAATGCTTATAATCCTAATTATGTTGAAACTTCTCAGGGTTGAAGAACTGAATTACCTGTAAATGAATATACTCCTCGTAATGACCATTGAATTACAGATTATAGAAATATACCTTATATAAATCATCCTTCACATTATCCTGGGCAACCCTCAACTCTTTTAGGTGAAATACAGTCTGAAGCTTCAATAGCAGATACATATCCTATAGGGGAAATAGAACCTACAAGATCTGATTTAGATCGTAATGGTATATATTCTGGAAATTTAAATTCTACTGCAGTTGAACGTACAACAAATTATAGACATCCTGATACTACTTATTTTTCAAGATTTAAAAATAGAATAAAAAGAAATGTTGATTATGTAGATAAAAAGGTAGAAAAAGACCTAACAAAATATCATAAAAAACATCGTATTGAAGAAGAATTACATGCAAGCAAATTATCTATAAAAGGGCATGGTAGAATAACTCACTCTGATCTACGTACTTTGAACAATAGTGGATATACAGTAGAGAATTCTAAAATAATTAAGATGCTACCTAGTAAAAAATAAGAGAACTAGTCTCTTTTTATATTTATTACCTTTTTTAAATGAAAAAATTTATTTTAGCTAAATATAAAAAAATCAAAAGATTTTTAAAATTAAATTATAGAATATTTGTTTATATTACTTTAATTATATCGTTAATATTAAATATATACATGATTTACAAGTTTAATAATCAACAGATGCAATATTTTATTTCTGTGCTTGATGAAACGAAGATTACTCAAAATATAGAATTATATTATAATATAAATAATAATTTACCTAGCTCTGCTGATGAATATAATAAATATTTTTTAGAAAATATAAATTGAATAATCAATAATGATAGTTTATACGTGCCTTCTAAATTTATAAGTCTTGCTACAAAAACTAATGTAGTAAATAGTTTGAACTCTTCTTCATCAATAATACCTATGTTAGAGTTTAGAAATGAGTTACTGAATCAAGATAAAAAGAATTATATAATTATTTTAGAGAATATTGTTTCATTACTGGAAAATTAAATATATGCTTGCTAAAGCCAAGCTTATTTAAAATAATTATAATTTATTACATTAAATACTTTTTTTACATAAATAATCTAGTGGTATAGTAAAGGATAATTTATTTAATGTAATAACGACTATAAAATAGGTACGATTTGTCTTGTAATATAGTGACAGAGTGTGTGGGTTCGATTCCCACTGGTCGTAATTAAAGAATCAGTAACTTAATTGGTAAAGGACTCTCCTGTCACGAGAGTAGATATCGGTTCGAGGCCGTTCTGATTCGATAGTCTTTTAATTTATAATCTTTAATTATAATATTCATATTATTAAAAGATATGAATTTATAGGCTCCTAACTTTTCTATTTTTTAATTTTAGCTTTGCATGCCAAAAAATTACAATTAAAAACCAAAAAGTCATTAAAAGGAAAAGTTTCCATTGGTAGGGTAAGGTATTTGCTAAATATTGTGTTTACGCACATGGGTGTTCGAGTCACCTCTTTTCCGTAGTTAGTTTTACATAATAAGAAGCAATTTAGATATTTAAATACACTAACCTTATTTGGTACAGATAATCATAAAAAACCAAACCGTTAGCTAAGAGGCTAACGGTTTTTATGCAGAAAATATAGGCTAAGCAAATAACAAAAAATTTACCGTAGGCAATAAATAAAAAGTAAAAGAGTATAGTTTAATGGTAAAATAAGGAGCTTCAACCTCCCAGTTCTCAGTTCAAATCTGAGTACTCTTGGGTATTAAGTACTTTTCTACTGGAACGGATTAGGGCCGGGTTGGTAAGGCGTCTCATTTGGGTTGGGAAGAAGTTATGTTCGAATCATAATAATCCGAAACAAAAATAAAGTAAAGTTTTTTGTATGTTTAACCTCCCTGCGAGTGCGGGTTGGAGAGGGAAAGAGAATTGATCGAGTGGTTTAAGATGATAAGCTTGAGTCTTATTTGGTCATTTATGATCACATCCGTTCGAATCGGATATTCTCTGTTTTTAATATCAACATTTAATGATTAGTTTTATGAGTCTAATCACATAATTATAATGAATAAAATTACGCAGGCTTTAAAGAATCAGTAACTTAATTGGTAAAGGACTCTCCTGTCACGAGAGTAGATATCGGTTCGAGGCCGTTCTGATTCGATAGTTTACATATATATCTAAAACTATAATATATACTTTTTTAAGAGTATATTTTGAAAAAAAAATAAAGAGTATTCAATCTCTAAGTTCTTAGTTTAAATCTAAGATATTATCCTTTACGAAGGTAAAACAAAATATTTATATAATATGAACAATTTATTTCTTATATATGAAACATATACAAATGGTTATAGAACAGACATATTGGATATTATCTCGTTATTTGCAATATTATGTGCTATATTGGTTATTATAAGTAAAAATCCTATAGTATCAGTTTTA